CTATATATGTAAATAGTCTTCAGAAATACTAGAAAATGAACGAAAATCGCTTAATTACTTTAAAAATACAACAATACACTATACATGGTCCTTGGCTTGGTTGATTTGAGTCTTGAATATATGTAAATAGTCTTCAGAAATACTAGAAATGTACGAAAATCACATAATTCCTTCAAAAATACAACGATACACTATACATGGTCCTTGGCTTGGTTGATTTGAGTCTTGAATATATGCAAATAGTCTTCAGAAATACTAGAAATGTACCAAAATCACATAATTCCTTCAAAAATACAACGATACACTATACATGGTCCTTGGCTTGGTTGATTTGAGTCTTGAATATATGCAAATAGTCTTCAGAAGTACTAGAAATGTACGAAAATCACATAATTCCTTTAAAAATACAACAATACACTATACTTGGTCCTTGGCTTGGTTGATTTGAGTCTTGAATATATGTAAATAGTCTTCAGAAGTACTAGAAATGTACCAAAATCACATAATTCCTTCAAAAATACAACGATACACTATACATGGTCCTTGGCTTGGTTGATTTGAGTCTTGAATATATGCAAATAGTCTTCAGAAGTACTAGAAATGTACGAAAATCACATAATTCCTTTAAAAATACAACAATACACTATACTTGGTCCTTGGCTTGGTTGATTTGAGTCTTGAATATATGTAAATAGTCTTCAGAAGTACTAGAAATGTACCAAAATCACATAATTCCTTCAAAAATACAACGATACACTATACATGGTCCTTGGCTTGGTTGATTTGAGTCTTGAATATATGCAAATAGTCTTCAGAAGTACTAGAAATGTACATAAATTGCATAATTCCAACAAAAATACTTCAAACTAGGAATTTTCTATAGATGTCTTTTCTATATATCACTGAGTATCTTAAAATGACGAGTCGTCAAGACGTCGGATAATTCTGGATACGCATGGATATGAAGGCTCAAATTTCGACGATGAGCTGTGAACACTATTACTGATTTGTTTAGCTAAAAAAATTCCCGATTCTGAGACTAAGGTAAAACAAAATGGCGCATCTGTCCCTTTAAAGGTATGCCCAAAAAAATGATTTTTTTAAACTTGGCCAAAATGAGTTTTTATTCATCAGTTGAACTTACCTGGTGTCAAAACTATACAACAGAATCCCTCTATAATCTAATAAATCTATAAAACTAAGTAAAAATTTGAGATTTTAAATTTTATGTCCATTCTAAGGGGTAGTATCCCTTTAAAGTTATAATTATTTAGTTTAATAATTCGTGTTATATAGAGATTCTATTCTTTAGTCATGACACCTGGTAAGTCTAACTGATGAATATATACTCTTATTGACCAAGTTTGAGATTTTAAATTTTATGTCCATTCTAAGGGGTAGTATCTCTTTAAAGTTATAATTATTTAGTTTAATAGATATATCGTGTTATATAGAGATTCTATTCTTTAGTCATGACACCTGGTAAGTCTAACTGATGAATATATACTCTTATTGACCAAGTTTGAGATTTTAAATTCTATGTCTATTCTAAGAGGTAGTATACCTTTAAACTTTGCAGAAGAATTCGTCGTGGACTTCGATGTTCAAAGCACATTTGATGTCAGCTTATTTGAGACATTACTTTGTTCCTAGCTACAGTTGTTCATAGTGCAACAGATTTGTTCACACATTAACTTGTTCATACCACAACATATACAATGTTCACAGTTACAGTTATTAATACAATATGTTCACACCAAAGTCACATGGAAGTTAAAGAGGCCCTAACACTAAGCTTATTCGAGACATTACTTTGTTCATAGCTAAAGTTGTACTAAGACATGTTCAACAGATTTGTTCACACATTACCTTGTTCATACCACAACATATACAATGTTCACAGTTACAGTTATTAATACACTATGTTCACACCAAAGTCACATGGAAGTTAAAGAGGCCATAACACCAGCGATCACCAGTTGGGTCATAAGTTTCGAACGCAACTCCTATGCAACGGAATTGTGAGTGGCGTTCGATACTCAATACCACTTTCATTATTTGTAACTAGTAATCTCTCGCACCTTAAAATAAATAAGCTAATATATCCATCAAATTGGTCGCTCCTTTCTTTAAAGCTACAAACGCAGTTAAAACGTTCTAAATCAAAACAAAGTTTTACAACATAAATATTGGATTTGTAGTTACCTGTATTTTCATTGTGGAACTGGTTCCATTCAATCCTGCTATTGTCTGTAATTCCTGGCTCAAGTCAATATTAGTTTAGGTCTACAGAACGGAAACGCTCAAAAGCTTCAGTTAGGCTGACTAATTGGAA